CTCAGCAGCAGCAGCCTCTCAGCTGGGCTGCTGCTCTGGTTCTAGCCATGCTTCACAGCCTCCTTAGATGGGAGTACAGCAAAAACAAGTGGTAGCTCATGCTGCTACTCAGCAAAACTTGTAGGATTTACTAGATCTCCCTCATGTGCCCTAGTCCAGGTAGTTATGGCTGCTCCCTAATCCCAGCGAGATTAATGGTGTTTATACTTTCTGAGCACATCACAGCCTTTTTCCCTTTTCCCCTTGCTGCTGGCAATTTCATGTTTCCTTGCAGCTGTAGACCTGCACCTATTCTGACAAACACCTTCATGTAATGACTGGCTAGTAAACCAAAACTAGCATCTCAGGCTTTTCTCAACCTTCCTGCATGATACGAATTTTCCAACCTATCTTAAGTGATACTACAGAGAAGAAAATAATCTCTTTACCACGGATATTGTTCTGTGTTTTGTGGCTCCTAATGTATTCCAGGGACGACAACATTGAAGGAAAAGATTTTCCTGGCACAACAAGAATTTTCTCAAATCAGCTGCAGCTGCCAGATAGTTTCAGCTTTGAATTGTTTGCATTTATTGGGCCTGGAGTTGGTTCAATGAGGCATTTCATGTCTGCCTTGTGTCAACAGTTTGTGAGCCTTGAAGGAACTCCAGTGAACCCCCCCCTCCCCTTGCAAATTAAAGGCAAGGCTGCGGCAGCTGTAACCAGAGGGCTAGAAGCTGGAAAATGTCACACCACAGTTGAAGTGAAACTGATATAAATCCACAATGTGACGATCTCTTAAAAAAAAAAAAAATTCCAAACAAACTACCTTTAATACTCAACCTTTTCCACATGAGTAATGTGGAGAGAGTTTATATATGGAAGGATATTTTGAAGGTTAACAACTGTTTGTGTAGCTAATAGTTCTTGATGTTAAGTGTTAACAAACAGTTGTTCACTAACAAATTATTATCAAACAGTTGCTCACACTGAAACTTAAACATAGCTTTTAAGAGACACAAAACTGGAAAGCTGCATCGGGAAGCAAAGTGGCTCAGCTAAAAAGTCAGTCACAGAAGAGGGTGAGGATTAAAAAAGGAAAATGGGCTTCTGAATAAGATAACATGAGGTTACCTGTAACCATAGGAAGCTTTCTGCACTTGTTGCAGTATGACGAGGAGGTCGCCAACCTACGTGATCTATTGATCCACTGAGGTTTTGCAGTTCTCTAACACTTTCCTTTCAGTCATCCAATTCCTGAAGCTATATGTAAGCTAAAGCATCTGTTTTTCTGGATTGGCAAAACCAATTGTG